TGTCATCCCAGGGCAGGGGCGGTTCAGTGGGGCAGAGTCACAGGGGCATTGGATCCAGCTGAAATCTGGCTGGCCCCCTGAAGTGCCCATGTCCTGTCACTCTTCTGTTCTTTTAGTGCATTCCAGTAGCACCATGAAGAGGAAATGTCCATGCTCCCATTCATAAATTTAAACTGGAACACCCTCTCCAGTGGTAAATCCCATTCGTATAGTGGAAGTGACTGCGACTACCCCCACTTTGGATTTCACAAAAAACCTGGGGGGCATTCAGAGGCAGTAGGTTTGTATCGGGGTTTAGCTGACTGGTGCACGGAGGTTTAGTCATCCTGTGGAGCTTTATTAAATAACACAAAACGATAGACCTGATATTGATCTTTGCTCAACCCTCTTCTTTCACGATCGTATCAAAATGCATGACTATTGTCTACATCTAGTCAAAGAAAAGACACGGAGAAGAGGACAGTAAAAAGAAAAAAGTCAAGAAATAGTTTCTGTGTTGCAGAAAGAAAGTAACTTCAGTTGATGGTGGTTTGCTGATCAATAAGCAACGTTTGTACTTTTTATTATCAGCTGAGCTGTTATGAAAAGAAAAATACTGTCAAATACTGTGATACCGGTATAATTGTTGAAAATTCCGTGATGTAAAATTTGGGTCACACCGCCCAGCACTAACTAAGTAGTGCATTTTATGTACATACTGTACGTATTAAAATCAATATTTATTTACATGACGTACAGAGTAGAGCTCTCTTTTTGTCATTGTTTATATTGTAAGAGTGTAACTAGAGCGCTATTCTGATGGGATTAGTTTTACATAGGGACCCTATGCTATTTGTAATAATTACAGAGATTGTCTGTATTGTTAATCTTGTGCGAATCGGCCATGGCCATGCTGCTTTTTYACATCATGGCCAGGGGACTGCAGATGAAAAATAGCCGTTTGGCTAATTCTGGCTCTTTTAACTTATGAAATGTCATATGTTTTATTAAATTGCACTGTCCCATTTTTAAATAAATAAATGAAAAAATGTCAGTAATTTGTAAAGTAAAAATTCCCCGGCAAATTACCTACTATATTTTGACGAACTCCGAGGTCCTGTGATAATACTAATCCAATGCCAATAGGCATCTCTGTGATTTGGACAGGAATGGGCTGAAACCCATATGTACGTACTTAGGCAGTTTTGGTTTCCTTGGTGCATTT